GAAACTACCAGCTGTTCCATGGTAGAAAAATGAGGCTTTCTGTTCCTGTAAAGATTTACAGCCTCGGAAACCCTATACAGGGTCACTATGAGTTGGAACCGATTCCATGGCACACTACCACCACCACCTTGTAGGTGTATGGATATTTTCCATCACAGACAGCATTGCGCTTCAGGATAGATCTTGAAATGCTCTTTTTGATGATAAATGCATTGTCACTCCTCTTTCTTTGTTTCTTGCACAGTAAACCATATGAGTGTCTTATTCAAAGTGACCAGTTGCTTTAGCTTCTGTATATTCAAGACCAGTACCTGTCAATTTCAGCTCATTAATGCCTAGGACATAGATCTTCAAGTATTTCATTTTTTGTTGACTTCCATTTTTCTATATTCATACTTCATAGATTTCAAGTTCCAGTTCATGGGTATTTGCAGCTGTTTCTTCTCATTTTGAGTTGTGCCCCATCAGCAAACGAAGATCTGAAAGCTTTGCTTTATCCACATTAAGGCCAACTCTACTTTGAGAATGCAGCTCTTCCAAAGACATATTTAGAATGGCATGCCTTCCAACATGCAGGTCTCATCTTCTAGCACTGTATTAGACAATGTTCCTCTGCTATTCATAAGGTTTTCAGTGGCAAACCATTCAGAAGAGGGTTGTCTCTCCTCTTCCTAGTCTGTTTACTCTGGAAGTACTAATGAAACCTGTCCAGCATGGAAGACTTTGCTGGTATTTAAAATGCCAGTGGCATAGCCTCCAGCATCACAGCAACACACAAGCCACCAGAGTATGACAAACAGACAAGTGGTGTCAGCTCTATTCTGTTCTTATACTCACATGGCCTCAACATATACAAGAGGGTCCCTGTGGTTGAGCCTACAAGGAAAGCCCTGTGTGTGTTGGGGATGATGGGCACCTGCAGACCTAGGGACCATGTCCACCTGACCTCTTGGGACAATAGCTTACTTCCCTTCACCTGAATCTTCACATCTGCAAAATGGACACAACAGCCTGTAGCCCTGGGATGATCATGTTGTCCTATCACTGGTAGCAGTGATACAGAGTGCATGAGTACATGGAGGTGTTGCTGAGCCTCTCAAGAAAAGCAGTGCTTGTGTTAGCCTACTTTATAAATGTGGAAGCTGCGGTAGGGATTGGTGAATAATGGCAGAGAACCTAATGCAGAAGACACTCTATCAGTACAAACTGCAGTCAGAACTAGCTTTGTGCATCTTGTCAGGTCTGCCTTGAGAGGAAGTTTGTTCTTTAGTATTTGTCAAGCTAGGACACAGTGCTGGGACACATGTGGACAGGGAAAGGAACCATACGTCTGGTTTAAAGAAGCCCCAGTGGAAGAGAAGTTTGGCTGTGACGATCCAGTCAGTAATCAGGGTCAGCCTATTGGATCCTGGATAATGGATGGTGGAGCCCAGCCTAGTGGATGAAGAGCAACCTAGGGGACTGGCTAATGTGAGCCAACCCCATAACTTCTCAAGATTCCCCACCCTCAAACTCTGTTTTCAGCATTGCCTTGGTGTTGGTGAGAATGCAGACCCAAGCCCATCCCAACCTGCCCATTTAGACTCTGACTGAGGCATCTTACAAAGGGCAGCATCTTGTCCTTGGTGGGTGTATCATCTCCATCTCACAGTGCCGGTGAGAACATCATCCACCACACATATCCCAGGGTTAGAGAATGTGACAGAAGCCCATAATGTTGTGCTACCTGTACTTTCCAGGTAAAATGAGGGGTCCTGGTGTAGGGTTGTTGATAGTTGTGTGTTCATTATGGACTTAACACCTCAGAGAAGTAAGCTAAAAAGTCATAAAGGAAAGGAGAGGACATTCATTATTTCAAGTGGCATACTCCCTGACTCCGTGGGTAGACTGGGACCAATACAGCATGCAGGGACTGAGACACTAGGGCACTGGGCCAGGCTGATGTGGAGACAGGCACAGAGGTGCTAGGCTCCTTCCTAAAGTACATTCCTTTCCATGCAGAATCTCAGCTGAATTCTCCTATGTGGTTTATCTTTTCTTAAGGGGGTTGTCTTTCAGGTTAAGTAACAAAATTGAGACCAAGTCAGACTTGACTTTCTGGAAGTGCTAGGTGGACCACTTATGGAGAGATGGAGACTCAGAGGGGTCAAGTGACATGGCCACCATCAAGATATTTTTGGCCAAAGGCCTCTTCTTCCTTGTTGTTCTTCTCTACCTCCTTGTTCTGGCAAAGATGTCCACTTGCCCTGATTTTCCATATTTCCTCAGCCCTCCCAGGTCCCTGGGTGGAGCAAATAGTTTGCACTTAGCTGCTACCAAAAGGTTGGTGCTTACAATCCACCCAGTGGCACCAGGGAAGAAAGGCGTGGCGATCTGTTTTCATAAGATCATGTTGTTGTTGTTGTTATGTGCCGTGGAGTCGGTTCTGACTCATAGCAACCCTGTACAGGGTTTCTGAGGCTGTAAATCTTTAAGGGAGCAGAAAGTCTCATCTTTCTCCCACGGAACAGCTGGTAGTTTCGAACTGCTGACCTTGTGGTTTGCAGCCCGACTCGTAACCACTACGCTACCAGAGCTCCTTATAGCCACTGAAAATCCTATGGAGCACAGTTCTACTGTGAAATATCTGCTCACCATGAGTCAAAATCCACTTGGGTTGTTTTTGTTTCTCTGGCCTCTCCTGGATCTGCTGGATTTCTGGGTCCTTGGCCCCTTCATTGCTAATTGCACTCTCCTCTGTTCCTGTGGTTCTGCCCATCCTTTCTAGAGGATGCTCTCCTCACTGAGATTGAAGTTCACAGCTTCTCAAGTGAACACTCATAGTTTGCCATCTGACGCTGTCCTGGACAGGAAGGTCTACTGAAGGCCCTGTTACCTGCCTTGACCCATGACAGGCATCTGGAGCAGCATTGCCTCTCTCCTCTGCTGGGGACGTCTTGAATTAGCAGTCTGCCTAGAATACTGTCCCCGCCATTCAGGGCCCTTGAAGGAAAAAATGAGGTCAGCTCATCAGTGTGATAGTACATTAAGAAGTAGGCATGCCCCCCTTCCAAGACTAAGACTCAAGTGGACTACACAAGCAGACATGCGGTCTGACTGGTGACCACGTTGATCACAGATAAGGGAAAGTGAGGGACAAACAGCAATGAAACTGTGATCTAAGTCTGACCACATTCAATAGACTCCTGTGAAACTTGGTGGGGACCTGGTTGGCCAGCAGTGTGGCAAGACCTGGGGACTCCTGGGCCCAGAGACAGTGACGTAGCCACAGAGGACTAGGGCAGAGACTGAAGTATCCAGCTGACAAGAAGTGAGGACATATGCACAAGAACACCCTTACTTGCAGATAATATGCACTTGACCTGGCTTCAATGACTGGATGATCAGAACTCGACTAAGAGTAAAAAGAAGAGGGAAAAAGTAATCTGATACAATTTGATGGACTTGACCTATACCTATGGATGCAGTAGCCCAAAAGAGGGAACAAATCTTTATAGCGAGGATCATTCCCACCCCCTTGGTACTCAGGGATGGGCAACTTGGACATTGGCTACCCAAAATGGGGTGCTACAGAAGCAAGAAGTGACTGGCTTACAAGCTTTCAAGAGGGAAACTAGATCCAGAGGGCACAGAGGAAGGTAGAATCCCCACTGAGTAGTATCCAATCTGTCTGGGCAGGGCTAATGAAAGGAGATGGGGATACAAAGGAGATTGTGGTGCTATAGTGAATAATTGCTATCAGGACTGACTGTGAGGGTTGGAAATGTAAAGGTAAGACATTTTGTAGCAAAACGAGGGGAGTGGTTTACTTTGCAGTCCAGGAGCGGAGGTCCCTGGGACCATCAAAGGAGAAGAGGAGCAGGACCCTACCAAAGACACAGCAACACCACAGATGGAGAGATGGAGTGGCTGGGGGCTCTAAACCCAGAGAGGGAGAGGGGCTGTGTGCTGACAACTGGGGGGGCAGGCTTGCAGGGTATACCCTTTGGTTGGTTGATGATGCATGGAGGGGACTGTGACCATGGCAATGAAATGATATACGATAGGTTGAATGTAAAACTAATGTTCTCCCATGTAAACTATCACATAATTCACAATAAAATATTTTAAAAAGCAAACACAAAAACCAGGCATGCCCAAATGCCTGACTGACTGAAGAAAGTAAACCCTGGAAAAAATGCTTCCTATTAGGAGTCCTGGTGTGGCACTGTAGGATAAGCACTGGGATTCTAATAGCAAGGTTGGCACTTCAAATCCACCAGTCATTTCTCAGAAACCCTACTGCAGTTAACATTAAGAGATGTGGGTAGGGCTCCAGGTTTAGGTTTGTAGGGTCCAGCAGGGACATTTCTGCTCTATGTGGCAGGGCTGCCTCCTAGTGACAGCATAGTGGGTTAGCCATCTATTGGCCCTTCCTGATGTCCCATCCCTGCTTTTCAGTCCATTGTTCTTCACTATTTCCTCATTCTCTGGCTCCAGTTTGCTCTTAAGCTAAAATTGTAAAGGGGACTGTGCTGGGACTCTCCTTTCTGGAGGCAGCAGGCTGACCATTAATCCTTACACCTGTTCTTTGAAGAAGGTTCTGCATGACCCTTATTGTAGAGATGAGGAAACTGAGGCACAGACTAGGAATGCTTTCAGCCATCAGTGAGTCCAGCAGGAGAGGGACACAGGTTGAGAGTGTTGGGCAAGTTACGAGACGGCAGTGAGGCTAAAGGGCCTGGGAATCCAGGGATGGGTGGGTTGCACACAGATCCTGCAGGACTAGGCACCCTTTCCTGGAGGGAGGGTGACAAGCACTGATTTCATAGTAGAGGCTGGCAGGGAGAGGCAGAGAGGAATGGATAACAGTGCTGGGATACAGGAATGGATAACAGTGCTGGAATCTTCAGGCTCCCTGTAGGTGGGTGTTCAAGATGTGGCTGGTCTGAGGGTGACTGGGAATGGAAAGAGGAGTCTTGGGACAGTAGATCCATGGATCCCTCAATCTATAAGAAAGTGTCCCAGGGAGTCAAGAGAGGACTCAAGGAGAGTTACTACTGTGATGGACACCCAGCAGGGGAGGATGGACCTGGAAAATGAAAACAAGAGCATTTAGGTTTGCAGAAAAATTGTGCAGAAAGGGAGAGTTCTCATATACCCTATCCCTCTGAAGAATATCCCCCATTATTAACATGCAGGTTAATATTCTTGTATTGTTGTATCTTCTATTATTAACATCTTGCTTCCTGTGGTCCATTTGTTACAATGGATGAACCAGTATTGATACATTATCCTTAAAGAGGGTCTGTGGTTCACATAGGGTTTTCTCTGTGCTGTCCACTGGGTTTTGGCAAGGGCTTCATGTCATGTGTCCCCTGTTCTTCTGTGTTCTGACATAGTCATGGTCAGTGTGCCATGTCTGTGTTGTTGAGGATGCTCTGTGTTTGGTGGAAACTATGTGCATCCCTGGAGATGATCCTTGAAATTCCATCTGTGAAAACTGAACACCCCACCCAACCCCCAGAGCATCCGCCTGACCAATGGTTCCTGGTGCCCAATGGTAGCTTTGGTCTGCACTGCTGTCCCTCATACTCTCCAGCTCAGAGTATTCTCCTCTCCCAACAGTGCTCCAAGTCCCAGCAGCTGTTCAACATTGCCCGAGAGCTCCTTCACACAGAGGAGGCCTATGTGAAACGGCTGCACCTGCTGGACCAGGTAGAGTGCTAGACTGTCCAAGGGGTGATGGTGGGCACAGTGCAGCAGAGAGAGACACCTATCTTTCTGCAAAGTCTGGCTTTTGACTTCCAGGGATCATCCTTGGGGAAAGTCATGGTATCTGAGTACAGAGGTGGTCTCTGGATAAGTGAATAATCTTTCTGTAAGGTGGCTGGGAGTGACAGTGAGCAGAACTGGGTTTATTAGCACAGATGATAACATACAAGTGGAAATCTAGGGTCTAACAGTGTGTGTAGGCCCTGTTAGACTAGATGAAGGAGCTCCAGACAGTTCACTTCAGGTGAGCAGGTAGATGGAAGAGGGGTCTGCTCCCCACTAAGTGTGGTCCTGCACAGGGGAGTCCCTCTGCTTTGTCCCAGACATCAGGCAGTGAATGTTCCTCAAATCAGTCTGCTCTAAGACCAGAGGTGTTGGGGTCAGCTTAGTAAAATGGTGTGGGAGAAAGTAACTTTGCAGCCTATTGAGGAAATAACCAAGGTAGTGCCCTCCCACCCCACCTGAGCTCCACAGATGCTCAGCATTAATTTCCCTGTCTGCAGGTCTTCTGCACCAGGCTGACGGAGGCTGGGATCCCTGCCGAGGTCATCACAGGCATCTTCTCAAACATCTCCTCCATTTATTGCTTCCATGGGCAGTTCCTCCTGCCAGAGCTGCAGGCACGGATCACCAAGGAGTGGTGAGTATGAGCGTGGCACTGGGCTGGCCCAGACAACATCTGCAATGAGGCCATATGGTTCTGTTACTGTGGCTGACTGAATAGCTTTTCTCCTGTCTGATGGTTCCTCAGTATGGGGGCTCCTGGTACCTGACACAACACAGGCAGAGGGAAGGGTAGGTCCAGCGTCCAGTCTGGCCCTCTTCCTGGTTGAGAAACCTTGAAAGTCATTGTCTTATGTTTGGTTTCTGCATCTGCAAAAGGTATGAACTTCAATGCTCAACTCAGACTCAATGTAGAGGAGATTTGGCATCTGGAAGCACTCCAGTCTGCTGGTCTCTCACCTTCCTTTCCCGAGTTTGCTCCACCTCAAGATCTCTTCCTGCTACCTCTATGGTCTGTCCTGCTGTAGTCCTTAGGCCTTCAGCAGAGTGATTGCTCAGCTGTCTCATGGTTGGCAACAGTGCCATGGTGTGGATCCCACCCAGCCATGCCTCCCCACTGTGTGCCTCCTCCACTGGCTGCCCCCTTCACAGACCTCAGTCTGAAATGCAGTGCTTATGGTCTTTGTGTCACAGGCACTTAGCTCCTTGGTGTGGGTGAGAGCCATTCTCCATACTGCCCTGGGCCAGAAAGACACAGAGGTGAGGGCCTTACCTCGGTGGAAGTTCAGTCCCATAAAAGCCAGGGTCACAGCATGCTTTCAAGGTGTAAGCTCAGCCGGACAAAGCTTCTGACTGACAAGTCCGTCCCTGGCAGGAGCCAGTTTTCTCTGTCAGTCCTGGAGAAGCCCTAGTGCAGCCATGTTCATTGGTCCCAGCTGTCCTTTCAGGTCACTGGCTGACTGTCCTTGCCCCTGCCTTTGTGTTGTGTACTCCAGCATGATTGTCCTCTCTCCAGACTTTCATGGATCTGGTTGGGCCAGATATCAGCAGGTCTTTCCTGATTAGAGGTAGTGCACTAACCCCTGTGCTATTCCCTGGGGCTGGGATCAAGGCCTAGGCCTTCTCTCTCATTCTTGTTGCTGCCTCTGTGTCTGCAAGGTTAGCCACACAGGCGATGGGACACAATTGTGACCCACTAGATCCTTTTGTGAAAGACCAGGAGCTGGAACCCTCTAGAGCAGGTTCCCTATTGCCCTCCAGAGTCACTGCCTTACCAATAAATCGTCTGCCTCAGCTTTCTGCATCTTCACCACAGCCAAACTCCAATGAATGGCAGCTGCCTCATTACTGCAGCTTCACTGTTCGAGGGTGGTGGCAGTGGTGATAAAGTGGTGGATTCCTGGGTAGGGCAAATGCAGGGAGGTGGAAAGTTCAGAGGATCTGCAGCAGTCCTGGAGCAGACTGTCTCTCTCCCTAACTGTGTGTGGCACCTCTAGACCCCAGGCGTAGCTTAGAGAGTCAGAGCCTGGTGGTGGTGGCAGCATGCTGTGGAGTCGGTTCCAACTCATAGTGACCCTGTATAAGGTTTCCGAGGCTGTAAATCTTTACGCGAGCAGAAAGCCTCATCTTTCTCCCAAGGAACTGCTGGTAGTTTTGAACTGCTGACCTTAAGGTTAGCAGCTTGACTCGTAACCACTACACTACCAGTGCTCCTTTCAGAGCCTGGAGGAGGTGTCAATAACCAAGGCCTCCTCCCCATCCCCAGTTCTCTCTGCCTCCTTCACTCCTTCCTCACTCCTGAGCAAATGCTTCTAGGGGAGGACAGTAGGTAGAGAACACATACCATTTAAATTAGGATCTTCATACCTCTTTCTTCTAACACAAAGATTACGTATGATTTGGTATACCACCACAAGCAGTGCCTTTATGTTGAGATGTGATCATCACCCCAATCTAAAGACATACTGCTGCATCCTAAGCATTATTCTACAACAACAGTGCAGCCTTTTCTACCACTGGACTTTTAAAATATACCCGGGGGTTCTCACCTGTGGGTACACTGCAGTGGCAACTTTGTTCATGTGGCTTTCCCCCTTCTTCTTGTTTACTTCTTTAGGATAAATTCCCAACAGTTCCAAGGTTGAAGAATAGTAATGACTATTAATATGTTTTTACACTTCTTGAAACGTATTTCTAAATCAGAAAACAAGGAGTCCTGGTGATGATGGTTAGGTGTTGGGCTGCTAACTGCAAGATCAGCAGTTCAAACCTACCAGTTGCTCTGTGAGAGAAAGATGGTGCTGTCTGCTCCTGTAAGGATTTGCAGTCTTGGAACCCCTTTACAGGGTTGCTGCAAGTTGCAGTTGGCTTGATGGCAGTGAGTTTTATCCAAATGGCAGTTTTCATTATCAGTAATGCAAAGTATTGATATAAAGTGTTGCCTTCCCTGTAATTAACTCTGCCAGCACTGGGTGTTCCCATTGGGTGTTTCTACAAGTACTTGTACGCTTAATGAATGTAGAAGTAGTGTGATATTTCATGATTCTGAGAGCTAGTCCCCTGATCCTCTGCTAGGCCCCCGCTCCTCCTGGAGCAGTAACTCTGGGCCCGGCACCGCTGACATGTACAGTCTCATTTACTTTCCCACAAATACATTTTCTCTCCACTCCCTCATTACCTGGGGAGAAGTTAAGGCTCAGACAGGTTGATTGTTTTGCCCACTATCACACAGAGCTGGGGTCTCATATCGGGTCCCAGAGCCGACACTTTTGGCTGTAGCTTGTGTCTGTCTGAGGAAGGTTAAAACCCAAACCAAACCAAGCCCACTGACACTGATACAATTCCAACTCAGAGTAACTGTGTGAAGACCTGGTAAATCTTCCCCACAGGTTTTCCAAGACTGAATATTTATGGAATATTTATGGAAGCAGACTTCTTCCTTCCACAGAGCAGCTGATGGGTTTAAACCACTGACCTTTTGGTTAGTAGCCAAGTGTTTAACCACTGTGGCACTAGATCTCCTCCAGGGGAAGGTTAAGTCCATTGAACCACTGCTGTGGAGTCAATTCTGACCCATAGAACAGAGTAGAACTGCTCTATAGGGTTTCTATAGAGCTGCTGGTAAGTTCAAACCACTAACCTATGGTTAACAGCCCATGCTTAACTTACTTTGCCACCAGGACTCCTTTGGGGAAACTTTGTTGTTGTTAACAGCTGTTGAGTCGATTCTGACCCATATCAACCCTGTATAAGGTATCCAAGGAGCAGCTGGTGAGCTTGAACCACCAACTTTGCAGTCTGGCACATTAGCCCACAGTGCCACACCAGGACTCCTTGGGGAAAGCTAGTGTCCATTAATTACAGTGTCCCTGCCCTTCATCTCAAGTGATTTCTCTGCTGCTCTGACTCTCCATGAAGGGATGAGAACCCCCGGCTTGGGGATGTCCTACAGAAGCTGGCCCCGTTCCTCAAGATGTATGGCGAGTACGTCAAGAACTTTGACAGAGCCATGGAGCTGGTGGGCATGTGGACCCAGCGGTCGGTGCTGTTTAAAGACATTGTTCACAACATCCAGGTAGGAAGATGGGGCTCCTGGAAATGGGGGTTCAGACATCATCAGGGGTAAGGCAATGAAGGTTTTAAATACAATTTTTTTTGCCTCTAAAATGTAATATGATATTTATGAAAAATATGGAGCATAGTAAATAAGTACAATTATGGCATGTAGCCCAGATGCCAGATTTAGGATTTGATCTGTGCTGTAACTCTTAGAGACTAAGTTGTCACAGGGGGAAATAGTGGCTCCTAGAAGTTTTGCAATCTATTGCTGTCACCAATTATTATTTGGTAGAATCAGGCAGAGTTTTGTTCTGTGCATAAGGTCGCTATGAGTCGGTACTGACTTGATGGCACCTAACAGCAACAACAACAATTTTAATGAATGTTTCTGAGTACAAAATGTCCCTCAGTCTCTAGTGGCAGGCAATTGTTTTAAAAAATTATAATGCTCTTCCCTTTCTTTTTGTTGTTTTTTTTTTGCAAATAGCTACAACACCAAACCAGCCCAGAGATACCTCAGATTCCTTTCTCTGATTAGTTCAGATCCCAGCTGCCTGTACAATTGTTTCAACAGCCCCATTCTCTGTGTTTTAGGTCTAATAAGCCGTGAAACAACTCACAATCAATAGGGAAAAGGCTATTTTTAATTTAGAAAGGATAAGAACCTTAGAAGAGGTCTCAGAGCAGAGTTTCCATGTCACTGGGGGATATCCTTACCTTACTGAAAGCAGAGGTTCACGGCCTCCACTCAGAAAGTTCCACTGAGGCCTTGCCACCAGCCCATCTTCAAGGCCATTTTGTTGGCTTCATCACATGGACTTGATAGAGTACATCTTGTCTCCTGAGGTTTAATCAGCATCAGCATCAGGTGATACTCTTGGTCTGGTCAGCTCCCATTCATTGGTTTAAGATGTGGTCTGGCTCTCAAGAACCAGAACTAAAGGCCAAATTGTTTGCACAAAGGGATTCCACACCTCATAATTTACCCACTAGCCCATTAGTCGTGGTTCTTTTGCATGTCTTTTTTTTTTTTTTTTTTTATAAACTTTTTATGTGAATTGGGTGAAAGTTCAAAGAGCAAATCAGTTTTCCATTGAACAATTCATACATATTTTATTTCATATCATTGAAATACATTCCTTGTTTCCTATTTTCATTCCTCCTTTTCTAACCTTTCCTGCCTTCTGAACTATGTTCTTGGGGTAAATGCTGCTCTTTTATGTCAAATGCTTGATAGTTCTAAAACAGAGATGGGAAACCTTTTTTTCTGTCAAGGGCCATTTGGGTATTTATAACATTATTCATTTAGCTTAAAAAATTGTTGTTGTTGTTAGGTGCCATTGAGTTGGTATCGACTCATAGCAACTCTATGCACAACACAATGAAACACTGTCAGGTCCTGCGTCAACCTCACAATCGTTGTTAAGCCTGAGCCCACCAGCTGCTCCTAGGAAACCCTAGACAGGGTCGCTATGACTTGGAACTGACGAAACGGCACTTAACCACAACAAGAACAACAATGTGATGGCTGGAACTGTGATTGCCTATGCAGGGCCAGACCAAATGATTTAGCAGGCTTTATATGGCCCAGATGGAGCTCTGGTAGCGTAGTGGTTACGAATGGGGCTGTGAACCTCAAGGTCAGCAGTTCGAATTACCAGCTGTTCCGCGGGAGAAAGATGAGGCTTTCTGTTCTCGAAAAGATTTACAGCCTCTGAACTGACTCCATGGCACATAACAACAACAACATATGGCCCAGGGGGCTGTATGTTTCCCACCCCTGTTCCAAGGTATACCTCCCTAGTGTTGTTGTTCACTTTCTAGATTAAGGGTCATAGTCTCAGGGTTCCACCAGTCTCTGTCAGACCAGTAAGCTTGGTCTTCTTGATGATTTTGAGTTTTGTTCCTGCAACAATAATTTATTTTAGAAAAAGCATCAGGCTGGTCCCTGTGAGGTGCAGTTTAAAGACATCCCAAATGTCTGACTTTCCTAAAGTGTTATGTTGTTGTTGTTGTTAAGTGTCATTGAATTGGTTCTGACTCTGTGTAGTGTTCTGACCCTGTATAGTGTTTCTGAGGAGTGGCTGGTGAGTTTGAACCACCAACCTTGTGGTTAGCCATCTAGTGCTTACTCTACAATGTGACACTACCAACTCTATAATTCATGATATCAACCACTATTCCTCCTTTTATTATTTTCCCCCATATCCCTGGGTTCCACAGTCCACTGCAACATCTCAGAGAACTCACAGGCTATCAAATAAATGGCCCATGATTATGGAGGATGGCGAGGCCCAAATCTGCAATTCACATGGCAGTGTAGACTCTAGAGGATTCTTCTTACTCACACAGAATCAGCCTATTGACTGCTGTCGAATCGGTTCCCACATAAAGTGACTCTGTATGGGGTTTCTGAGAAGCAGCTAGTTAGTTTGACAGCCAACCTTGTAGCTCAAACTGACTTTATGGTTCAGCACATTAACAAGGTTGTAGAAATTGGCATTTCAGATCAGGCTTCTGGCTCAAGTCCTAAGAATCAAAGGTCAGTTGGAGATGAGCTTGGTTAGTCAAGAAAAGGAGCCCCTTCATATAACCAAGATGGCTCACTTATTACCCACGCTAGTGTTTCAAGTTCTTACAATCACAATCAATTCTGTTATCATCCATAGCCGAATCGTGTCAGCATCTTCTCCCACCGTCTCTCACCCAGATCCACCAGGAAAAGATTCATTTGGTTGGAGTTACAAAGACTAAAGACAGAAGAGACATATTAAATAATTCACTACACCACAGTTCCACATTTTTCTCCCACTCCACCCAGTACCTTCTAGTGTGATCCCTTTCAGAACAGTTTCTAGGAACCATTTAGTTCTGGTTTCAGGGTCACGGAGGCTGTTGTTTGTATGGTTCTTTAGGTTATTTGTCTCAACGAATCTTTGATTTTCTTTAATATTCTTTGCCCTGGTGGTGGTTGTGGAGTCAGTTCCAACTTATATCAACCTGCATAGGGTTTCCAAGGCTATAAATCTTTACGGGATGCAGAAAGCCTCATCTTTCTCCCAAGAAATGGCTGGTAGTTCTGAACTGCTGACCTTGAGGCTAGCAGCCCGACTGTAACCACTATGCTACCAGAGCCCCTTATTCTTTGCCCTAGATAAAGAGAAACCAATAGTTGCATCTTAGATGGCCATTCACAGGCTTTAAAGACTCTAGTATCGATTTTGACAAATAAGGATATTGAACGTTTTCTTGTTAGACCCTTTAATGTCTCTTATGCTGGCCTCTGCCCTAAAGTGTATTTTATCAGATAATAATGTTATATTAAGGAGCTCTGGTAGTGTAGTGGTTACAAATCGGGCTGC